TCAGATTACTCCCAGACTTTATATACTTGTGCATAAGACTTCCAAACAAAATGTCAATATTTCCACCGATAACCAGACATTCTGCCGTGCCCGGTTGGTTTGCCAGTAACTCATTCTTTGTCTGCAGTTAAACTTCAACAGATTTTAGTCCTATCAAATAGTCATTATATGCTGTGTTTCCTATCTGGTGAAAAAAAACAAGGTACCCAAAAGTCCTACAGTTGAGTTCTGTTCTAATCTGGATAGTGTCCAGGATGCATAACAGCACAACACAGTTCAATGTATTTTAGGGCTGCAATCAAAGAATATGTTCATCACTGATTCTTCAGTAGATTTTCCTTTGTGGATTGATTGTTTTGTCTATAAAATATCAAAATAGAGAAAACTGGTGATGCTGACACTTTCCTGATGACTAACAGTTACAGAGAGCTTCCTTTGTCTAACCAACAATCAATGTTTTAATATGTTAAAATGATGACTGTGGATGGTACACTGCCTCTGTCAGAGCACTAAGATTGTGCTACGTCAATTAGGATAGTACACACGTGAGTATTTTCATATTATAATATTAGTTGTATTATTACACTTGTTATATACCTGGATTATGTAATTATTCACTGTGATACTGAATATAGGACGTCTTTGTTGAGTTATGGTAGTTTGAGAAACAAAAGATGGTTTATTATTCCCTAGTAGTTACTTTTTGCACGCGGGCTTTACGAACAAACCCGTATTGCAGGTTGGAAAGCGTTCATTGGTGCACTGCAGGCGCCCTCTTGTTGTAATTACTGGTAAGGTCTGGAAAATGTCTGGGTGCTGGATGTAACTGTAATGCCATGTTGGTTCGTTATCACAGGTCAGATAATGCTGTGTGTCCACAGGGTCGTTTTATACAGGAAGCAACGCACTGTTTCCCAATATCGATAATATATATATATATATATGTGTTATACAGACAATGAATAGAAAGTGTTAAACTGACGAATTCTGTAGACACGTACCATCAAGCTTATTGATTATTGCTTTGTCTTTTAGAGACCACACAAAATTCAAATCCCACTCAAGCAGTTAAGTACAATCATGAATAAAGTTTACAGACACTTGGTTTTATAAGTGAATGTAAACTTTTGTTTACAATTGTATATAAATATTTGGTATTTATAGGAATAAATACTTGCTTGTATGGAATTTGAATATTGTTGAAACTACCGAAAAATTATTGTTATTATCATTATTAATATTATTATCCCATCTATCCATCCAGTATCTAAACACTGCTTAATCCTCACTAGAGTCGCGGGGGGCTGGAGTCTGTCCCAGCTGACTTAGGGCGAAGGCAGGGGACACCCTGGACAGGTCACCAGTCTATCACAGGGCTACACTTAGAGACAGACAACCAAGCACACTCACATTCACACCTACAGACAATTTAGAATCACCAATTAACCTCAACATGTTTTTGGACTGTGTGGGAGGAAGCTGGAGAACCCGGAGAGAACCCACACTGCACGGGGAGAACATGCAAACTCCACGCAGAAAGATCCCGATGCCCCCACCGGGACGCGAACCGGCAACTTTCTTGCTGCGAGGCAACGATGCTACCAAGCGCGCCACCTTGCAGCCCAATATTATCATCATCATCATTATTATTATTATTAGTAGTAGTATTAGAATTATTATTATTATTATTATTATTATCATCATAACTGCTGTGACTCTGAACCTGGACATTTCATGCTTCAGTAGATGAACTCTGAATCCTGGCTCACTGGAGTAAGCACATCATCTGCCTCCATCCTACCGTACGCACCACCTCCACTCTTTAAAGACATTCACTTTATTATGTTATACAACAAAGAAAGGCTGTCAGCATTTGTGAAACTGTGAACAGTTATGTGACGCATTTTTTTTCTGATTGACTAAAGAACTAATTGCTTCAGCTTTACTTGCAAGAAATATTTGGACATTTTATATGCGGCATACTCTTCCAATAATGTCTTGATAGCAGAAAAAAAATCTCACCATGATTATACTGATTTCATAATCAACACCAAGCCTTACACAGTAGTTCTGTCCTGTTAGTGTTCTCTCTCTTATCTAATAGCTTTACTGTTTTTAGCATTTTGAATTAGAAACTACAATAATACACAATCAAACTTCTCCAGCAGCTTGAAATAATTTGACTAATCATACCAGATCCAACAAGCACATCTGGATTTCCGAGAGTCACGGCAGAGGTGAAGTCTTCACCGCGGTACTCCATGTCACACTGCCAGTTCACAAACTTGTGTTGCTGAGTCTACAAAACAATGACAAAACATCTCAAACTGGAAACACAATGTAAGGGACACTTAAAATGAAACAAACTCTAAAAGTCCTAATGTGAAAGGCTGCTTCCTTTACATATCTACCTACCTGGATGGCTATTTTGGAGCGCACAGCAGATGTAAGCTGGTGGATGACTTGGGCATTCAGACTGCCAGTGTTGTCCATGTCTCCGACCATGACTGGGAATGACTAGGGAGAACAAAACACAACAAATTCAGCTTTCAAATAATGCGGATGACTGTATTACCAAGCAATCAAAAACAATGTTATCAAGCTTTATGACTTCCTAAACCATCACAATGTTGAGTAGCTGGCTATTAATTGCTCTCGTACTCCTTGTGGGGCAGAGTTTTTGCAGTTTTTAATTCTGATGAATACAAAGAAGATTGCTCATCCAATCCTAACTAACCAGGTTAATCATATAAGTATGGTATTGTTCTTGCTCTTATACATGTGGGTTCTTCCAGTTTAATGGAAAAACACGCTTGCATTCCTTTGTGCTCTTCTTTCCTCTGTATCTATTCGATCATATAAAAGGCAATACAGCTATAGACGTTTAGTTCTTTACCCCCGAATTGCAAGAAAACAAATGCAGTTTTAAATCATAGATGAACACGCATAGAACCCACAAAAAAAAGAGTGACAACATACAAGCTTCTGTCATAACCAGGAGGGTTTACAGCCCAAAGTTCAAAATGTCAGCATCATTTCAGGAGTTTAATAAAGCACATATAAAAATGGTCATTACCTCTGCTGGTCCAGTCTGTTTACTGCCTACATAGGTGGCACCAAATCGATAACCAGAATCACCCAGGGTGCTGAGGGTAACAGTATGGCTGACCTGGAAGTGGTTGCTCAGACCCTTGTTGACCACTAACCGTACCCCTTCCATCTGCAGAGGGAACACCTCTAAAACAGAAAAAGGGCAATGAATGACCTGTGTCGCTCAACATCAGACAATTACTTTAACTTAAAACAATGATGTGTCTATTATTGCACTATGATTATTACTTCAAAGTTTAATTAATATGAAAAAACACACCAGTATCATTCCACTTGATGCACATCTCAATATTTAACGGCTGATTTTCTAACCTTTACATTTGCGGTGGCACTCCTCATATGTGCCTGGGTTTGGGAGTGGGGAATCTGCATCTGCTGTCTGCTGGTCAGATCCAGATGCTGGAGGGACGGAAGACACTGAGGGCATAGTGAACCCAGGAGGGACCGACACCAACCCTGGAACCCCTTGCCCGCCTCCAGCTGCAGCTGAGGCCGGACTGGGGGAGGCGGCAGCCAACACACTGCCCATACTCTGAGACTGTTACAGACTAGGAGAGAGGTAGACAATGCATTAATAACTCATTTCATAATTTATTACATCATTGCTGTTAATCACATGTATGTGTGCAACTGGTTTTCGAAATACAAGCCTGTAAAAAGATGCATCTCTCAAAAACTAGGAGTGTGATTTATTAGCATTGACTTGAACGACCTGCGAGGTCTGATGTGAACACATTAGTATTCTGCTTAGGTTACAGTCTCCCATTGTTCACACAGCATAACCTGAGTACTAGAGTACAGCTAACTCTTACAGCTCACTCTCATGCATTCAGCTACCATCTACTTGGCTAGTCAGTGCTGTGTCCTACTGTAGTGACAGTAACTGTACACCAGGTTGGTTGTAGCTAAGGCCCAGTTGTACTCAAGACTCTCCACATACATATTAGCTCAAAGCACAACCTGATAACTACAAGCGATATCTGCAACGTGCAACGGCTTGCCACAGAGGTAACTATTGGTGATGAGCCAGAGGCCGGCAAAAACTATCCGCGAGCAGTATTTAACCTATGACGGCTAATGCAAGCTAGCAAGGTTGGTTGGTTAGCTAGCTCGCTAGGTAGCCATGTGGAGTCGACCACGCGATATGTTCGTCCAAACAAGGAAAACACAGCAATTACAAACGCGACGGGTACCAAAGCCATACTATCTGCCACCCGCTCTTATAAAGTCCTCCTGTAATTTCACGGTTTAGCTACTCACGTTGACGGTTTGGGTCCAGGGGTAGTTCAACACCGGTAAAGTTCACGACAACGTCCGTGACCGTAGTTGACAAGTGCCCGCCCATTTTCCGTGACTCTCCCGGCTGATTGGCCGATGCGCATCGCAGCTCGACTACCATTGGCTGAGGCGAAAGCGGGGACCGTGCGCTCCTGGTGACGTATCGCAGAGTTCATTCGCTGAACATTGGTTTAAGTCGGGCTCTTACTGAATGACATTCCAAGGGTACGCCTAATTGGGGGCCGTACGGAACAGATACACTACAAAATTATACACATATGACGCCATATTTCCTTAAAAGATTACCCAGTTCTTTTTTGCGTCCGTTTTGTTGAATAACAATCGTACTTATAGATCGGTAGGGTCACACCAATACTGTATGTCAAACGATGTTCATTTTCTGCAAGTTAGGGCTGCAAGATTTATGGTTTGAAACTACATCCAGTCTCAAGTAAAAGGTTAAATAGATAAGAAGTCTGCAAAAACGCGACACTGCAGGTGTAGATTTTTCACTCCTCTGCTTTGTAAGACTGGATCCTGGCTGCCTTGTTGTATGAGAGGAGTACAATCATTCACAAAAACAAACATTGATTTTAAAAAACACGAGCAGAGTCAGTCAGTTTGACTTTAATTTGTTTCAAGCACTGGCATTGACACACGATAAACAGAAAATTCTTGCTTGTCTTCAACAAAACATCTGTTTCACAAGACATGAAAGTTGTTTTTTTTTTTCCCCTGAAGGCAGAGATGAGAAAAAAAACCCACTAAGAAAATGTTCTAAACTTTTTTTTTTTTTCTATTACCACGGCCTGCACTGAAATAATGACCTGCTAAATAAGTGAGGAACCAAAACCAATCACAAAGGGTAATTCCTTTACAATTGCTGGACACAGGCCTGGGTCCTCTCCCCCACTGGGGCTGGGCAAGAATGAAAATGGTCAACCACAAAAAAAAAAAAAGTGTGCTGGAAATTTCACAGTGTTAATGTTTTGAATTTCAGATATATATTTAACGACACTGATCGGAAGCCAAGAAGTCTCAGGCGGTAACAGTGTGGTTCTGTCTGGTTTTCCCATTTGTTATAAGAAATGCATTTTTTTTACAAAGTAGGGAAAATCTGCTAGGAAAGTCCTTTCTGAGTGCTACTGTGCTTTTACAACTGACAAATCAACAAGTTTGCATCGCAGGTAAAATGGCACCCAAAGTCGGGTCAAGGGCGGCGCGGGTAAAGTAATGGTTTGATGTTAGACTAAGGCACTTTATAGGGAAGAAGCTGCACAAACTCAACAGAGACGACTGATCAAGTTGGATGGTTTAAACATGTTAACTAATTATTGATAACCTCAACACCTGAGAAGTGCTATGGCTTTAAAAGAATCAAACACATCTCACAGTTGCTGTCATTATTGGGTCTGTGTCCTAACAAAAATCCCTTCCGTGTCAATGACCTTACACTGTCGTCTTTAAATATCTTACTTCTGCAATAAAAAACAGCAAGTTCATCCTGTTTCCTGTACCTGAACACCACTGCATCCCTCTTTTCCCTCAGAGGAAAGTGGCAGTTTTGGTATCGGAAGCTGTCTTTATTATAAACTACTCTGTCAACTCTTTCAGCTTTGGTTTCCTTTTGAAGGATGACGTCTCGAATAATTTGCCTCAACAATTAATGTGTTGGGCAAAATGTTTTTATAATCAACAAGAACGATGACCAAAGCTACAAATTATCGCCACTCAGAGGGGGGAAATTATCAGGGACACCTGCTCATTAATGCAAATATCCAATCAGCAGAAAATGAATGTATAAAAATGAAACTTAACCTTGTCACCACATTCAGTTGTTCAGACAAAACTTCAAAAACAAACAAGAAAAAAGGGATCCAAGAGACCGACTGTGGAGGGTTTGTTTGTGCTGACTGCCTGTGATTTTCACAAAAGTCGCTCAGATTGATATTGTTGCAAAAAAATAATAATACCTGAGTGGCAGCTGTGAGGCTACAAGTGCCTGACTGGTGAGAGAGAATGGCAAGATTGGTTCACGCTGACAGGAAAGGCACAGTAGATTAAAAACTGTTATGGCAGACATGTGGCGACAAAGTGGCTACAGAGGACACAGGCTCATCATAACAGGATAGTGTACGACTGGAAAAACATTACCTGATCCTACATCATGCAGATGAGAGGGTCGGAATCTGATGCAAGCACAAACAGTTAATGAGACTGCTTTTTTTTTGGCACAATTTTGGCTACTAAGCAAGCATGGCAGAAATGCAAGAGGTTTCTTGAGCATTATTGCTGACTATACATCACATCTGTTTGTGGTCACAGCCTCCCTCATCTCATGGCTGTTTTTTAGCAGGACAATAAATGAGAGTTTGTCATCACAAGTATCACAGGAAGTCCAGTGTACCAATCCACCAAAGAACCTTGAGATGGGGTTGCAGCATAAATGAGTAGCTGGTAAATTTGCAGCTGCATAATGTCATTAACAGAACTCTGTCTCTGAAGAATGTTTCTAAAACCAAGTTGAATCCACACCACCAACAATTTATGCTGCTCTGACAGAAACAATGGTCAAATCCCGCATTTAAAAAAAGCCAATGAGTGTTGCTTTCTTTACGGTGTGGTTTTACTTTTAACCATGTCCTCAAAAGGCATTTCAGCAGGATGTAATATGTCCAATAGAGCTAATAGCTGGCACTATCTGATGATTACACCTTTGGTTCCACATTTTTATACTTACAGCAATGACCAAACAGTTATTAACTTCCATTGATGGTCAAGAGTGATTGAGTTCTGAGTCTTAAGCAACAGTAAAGAAGGACACTGATCTCTAGCACTTTGGCAGAATGAAGAACAGTTTTAAGCGTCAGTTTTTAGCAGGGAAGATACCAGTTCACTAGCTTTAACAGAAATTGAGGTGTTGTAAACTCAAACTGGCAATGAAAAAAATCACTATAGCAGATCCTTTTGATGGTAAAGCGGAAGAAAAAAAAAAACTTCATCTAAAGTCTTGTGATGTGCAGCCGATATTGTGTGTCAAATGCCAGGCACCACGTTTCTCCTGAAAAACAAACCACAAAAAGGCAAGAACAGAATTAGAAAGCCTGATTCCACCCATGTGAATGATACCGCTTTAGGAAACACGCAGAGCGGACAGCTGGCCGAGTGTGCTAATCAGCTCTGTCCAAATCTATGCTGACTGCTGTAGTGCGGTGAGAAGAGGACAACTCTTAACCCCCTCACCTTTAAATCCTGTAAAACTTCTGTTAATCTGCTTCATGAAAGAGGATATGATCCATTTGCAGGTTTGCTAGTAGTCGCTCTCCTTCAACAGGACGAGCGCTCAGATGTTTCCAGTATTATGAACACACTATATTAATTTGAAGTACTTATAGATACAAAAATTCACTGAAGCAGAATGTGGAAATGAATCGTTTCTCTGATTTCACCTTTGCAATTATTCACCTATTTTACCAAATAATGTAGCTTTAACCCATTCTTTACCAGTGAATTTTAAAAAAAAACAAACATTCATTGCCTTTAAGTTGCCTTGGACTGGTAACATACAACAGTGTAGACAAGTAAATAATCACAACTTTCCCCTTCCCCACAGAGCTGAGCATCAACCCTCCATACCATTTTGGTAAACCCTCTCCTCCAGAGTAGCAGAAGACTAGCAGTACAACTGGCTTAATAATATAAAAACAGTTCATCTTAATGGTTTAGTTTCAATCATGGTTGGCTTTTCAAGTGTTTCAAGAACTGACCGTGCATTCAGGCTGCTCCCAGCTCCTTGTTTTTTGCTCCCCCTTCATCGCCATCGTCATCTGGGTCAACAGAGTGAAACTCTGCCACATACAAGCTCTTGTCAATGCAGCTGGGGATGGGCTTGATGTCAGTGATGAGCTGATCCTCGATAGTCTTCAGGTTGTACCGGTCATCTGAAGTGATCAGATTGATGGCCAGACCCAGGTGACCAAAGCGTCCTGAGACAGAAGACATAGTGTTTATATTATGGTCCTATGATATTATGATGCATTAGTAGTAGCAGTGTCATAAAATGAACCTGGGTGTGACAGCTTTTAAAAATAGCAGCATGCTAGTCTTTACCTGATCTGCCGATACGGTGCAGGTAGGTCTCAGCGTTTTTGGGGAAGTCAAAATTAATGACCACATTTACTGCCTGGATGTCAATTCCCCGAGTGAAAAGGTCTACAAGAAAAGATGTCTATTAGTCACCATACTGAACATGAATCATTTAAAGGTGTAGTTTAGATTTTAAAATGCCTAACTCCCTTCACCTACCTGTGCACACCAGGTTTCGGCACAATCCGTTTCTGAAGTCGTGGAACACGCGGTTTCTGTACTCCTGCATCATCTTTGCGTGAATGTAGAAGCACGAATAACCCAGCTGTGTGATTTTCTTTGCCAGAAGCTCAACTCTCTGAGTGGAGTTACAGAAGATGATGGACTGATTGATCTGGAGCTGTAATAGAAAAAGACAGATTCACGATCATTTATTACTGAAGGAATTAACTCATTTCTTTAGATGGATGTAACTCTTGAGCCCTTTCAGTCATGGGACCTGTAACACTGCTGGCTTCATCAAGTTGTTAAACTGATGGCATTCAGACATTTCAGTCAATGTTTCTCCCTGCTTCAGTCAGACACATCAACCACTGACATTTAACAACCCTATTCATCTCAGCAGTTAGTGTTTATTCATTGCAGTACAGTTTGGATTGTTATGGACGTATCAGTTTGCAGTTGAAAAGATTTGTAGGGCAGAGTGAGTGAGAAAGGTGTGACGTGACTTTGGCACACAAACGGTGTCTTAAGCACTTTGTGATGTTTTTGGACAAATATTGGCGCTGAAATGTGGAAAAAACTCATCAACAAATCCCTTAAAACAACTCTAAGTACTGCTGTCTGTGCATGCCTACCCGTTAATGTGAACGGGTGCAGTTTAGACTTGTGCTGTGAGTGACACATAAATGTTAGCTGGTCTGACCGAATAAGGCTGCCAGTAGAGAAAGCGACCAGGGTGGTGCTTTCATACCTGAAGCCATCATACACGATAATTCAGTAAACTTTCTCTAAAAATAAATTCAGAAATCTGAAACCATCAACCTGAAAGGGCAGAATAACTGCACCTTTTTTTTTTTTGCATGGTATTTAAATACTCTTTACGATGACAGCTGTTTTAGGCTCTTAGCATACAGACGGTAGCCCACACCTGATGCAAGCTTTGAATACTCACCCTAGAAAAGAGTGTGTTGAGACAGTGGACCTTCTGTCTTTCAGTCACATAGGCATAGTACTGAGTGATGCCCTTCAGTGTTAGTTCCTCCATCAGGTTGATTTCATAAGGCTTCTGCAGGTGCTTGCTCTGGAAAAGACATTCAAATTGTATAGCGCATTATGAAGTGGAAATAAACGTTTACATTTTTACCTAATGAGAGAATCTAATTGCTGCCAGAGGTCTTACCATGAATTTTTGCACACTGATGGGGAAAGTGGCAGAGTAGAGCAGAATCTGACGGTTCTTTGGCAAGAAGCTGATAATATCTTCAATCAGGACCACAAAGTCCTGGGACAATAACTTATCTGCCTAAAACGGAAATATAAAAAGAACGACTATCAAAAGGGGCAGACAGCTGACCAATCTCATAAACAAATATAGTCAACAATATGAAAATGTTAAATAAAAATTAATTAAAAAAGGGCAAACTCACTTCATCCATCACCATCATTTGGGTCTTGTCCACCTTTGCCACACCCTTTTTCATCAGATCTAGTATCCTGCCTGGTGTGGCGATCACTACATGCACTGGAGGAGACACATACAGCACATCACAACAAGATCCACTCAGGAAGCCTCTGTGATATTGCACAGCCGGTTGGATTTCCTGTCATTCAACTGCATACTGAGTGGTGCCATCAACATACAAAATGGCAGCATTTTACAAAACACTAAAAGAATATAAATGGAAATGCTTAATAAACTGTGAACCTCAAAAACAAATAGAGAAGTACAAAAGCTTTTACTTCATAAAACATTTCTTTTTCTTTTAAATCACTTTGAATACTAAATACCTGTTTCATCAAGACGCAAGATGTCATCCCTTAAGTTGGTTCCCCCAGTGGTCGCCATGACTTTGACCCCTCCCAGGTGCTTGCTGAGCTGAATGCTGATCTGGCTCATCTGCAGGGCTAGCTCCCTTGTTGGTACCATGACTATGGCTGGATGAAGACAGAAATGGGAAGGTTTGATGAGATACATGGAGAAAGTGTTTTTTTTTTTGTTGTTGTTTTTTTTTTTAAGAAAAAAAAAACTTTATATATACTGTATTTTTACAACAGAGAATGTAATTTGCCCTGTTTTCTTGGATACAATTGGCTGAAGAACTGGATGGATAAAGATGTTATGTAAGGTCATTCTGATTGTGTGTCTATGATGACGAATTATGTGTTCTAGATTAATAATGATGGATCTATAATTCTGTATATGATTGTAAAGCTGAATGACCGAATGACAATTTGTTTCTCTACCTTATTTTGTAAAGTTAACGACATGAGTTGTTATGTTTGTTTTGTTTGTGGTTGTTGTGTGTATAAGTAAGATTGTGCGTATGTGTGTGGATCCCAGGAAGAATAGCTGATGCTTATGCTGGTGCTAATGGGGATCCTAATAAACAAGAACAAGAACAACAAACTAAAACTGTTCATCAACAGCAGAAGAAACGCGTACAGATTAGACTGTGATCATGAACTTGTGCACATGCTTCAGAGACTGTACAGTGACAAAACCATCCGTCAAATGTGTCAGTTTTGTTAACCCAGAGGGAGCACAAGGCAGCAGAAACTCACCCTGGATGTGATCCTTCTTCAGGTCTATTCTCTCTAGGAGAGGGATGAGGTAGGCTCCACTTTTTCCTGTACCATTCTTGGCCCGGGCCAAAATATCTCTACCTGATAGGGCAATAGGGATGCTTTCCTCCTTTTGGCAGACAGACAGATCCAGTCAGTAAAATGGGCATGGTTCATTGGGAAAGACAGACTTTGAAAATAAGGCAAACGTTATGGAAAACAACAGGAAAAACACAATGATATTTGTGGCCCCTTGGAATACAGAACAGGGCGGCAATGTCACACCACAACATAAAGACACATATTATAGAGCTGACCAAAGGTTAATAATTGCAACAATAACCTATGGATGTATTGAGAGCAGGTGGACACCAGGCTCAGAGACAGGCCCTGTTCACTTTGCCTGACCAAAACTTTCAAGCTCCGAGGTTTGCTTCCACATTGTGCAGTCTCACGTACATGCACATTAGTGTTACTTCAAGTTACGATTACATCATAAAAATAAAGCTTGCTTTTGTAGGTGCTGGGGAGGCTTCACAAAAATGAAACCTCAACAGGTAGAAGCCATAATAGAAGGAGTAACCTTCACCTTTGAGGTATCCCATCAACAGTTTTACAGACATCTTATTACGGTCTGTGGAGAAAATGTTTCTGAGCCGCAGTGGATTTTTTTCGTGGCAATACAGCCAGCTAATAACCTCATCTAAAACTCTGCAGTCTGTTGTTCAGGTATGTTGTTTTAAAGTGTTTGTTGGACCACACCACTGCAGTGTAAACAGTCGAGAAGTGGGCTGTAGCATGTGGAAGTGATGGATCCTGTAGCTGGCTAGAGGGTGCTGCAAGAAAGGCCTACAACTTTGGACCATTTGCATGCACATGCAAGAAAGGGGGACTAGCAGTAGTGTAGTCAAACGTCTTCAAGGCAGGACATCCAATGAAAATATTTGAAGTAAACAAAAAAGTGACATTTGGAGCTAACTGAAATAACAAAACTACAGCTCTGCAGCTAATTCTGCAATTCTGAATCACAAAATGAGTTTCTGTGTCAATTTTAAAAGGGATCTGAGTTCTGGTTGCTTCTATTTACCTGGATAGGGGAGGGTTTCTCCCATCCCATTTCAAAGATCCCCATGAGAAGTTCTCGCTTTAGACAGTAGTCTTCAAATTCATTTCCCTTAGTGGACGTCACATCCTGGGGAACACAAAGTGGAAACATATTAGATTACTGTTTGCTAAGATCTAGAGGCTGATCATTATGGTACTAGGCAACACTCACTATACGAGTCTAAAACATGTCTCAGAGATTTGTGACAGTGAACCTCAATAATTACGTCAACAGTCACCCTACCGAAGTTTTCACTCTGGTGTCTTTTGGAGGAACCGCCAGCAACTTCTTCCAGTCATCACCAAACCTATAAGTAAGATTATGCATTGTTAAGTTTACACAAATAACAGAATACAACACTGGCAAAGAAGGGCTCTAAATCACATTTAACCAAATTTATTTTCAGAACAGCCACCTTTTTTGTACATTACTCAAAAAAAAGTACTGAAATGCAGGTTTGATGCTAATAAAAAAAAAGTTTGTTCATTAAACAATCAGATTCCAAAAGTATTAGCATGTCTGTTATAATTCTTTTTTTTTTTTTTTAGCTGTAAACACACCACTAAAACAAGTAATGATGGAGAACTGAAGGGATTTTGCACTGTGTATTCCTGCAATATTTTGGTAAAAATATACTCTGGAAGTCCTAAGCCTTGGCATGGGGTTCTTATAGCAATCACACATTTGTCACAGAAGTAAAAGAAGAAGTGGACTCATTATCTTACCGAATGCCCCCACTGCTCTGAGGAATGCTGGTTCTTTCCTGGGGGGCACCGAGCTGTTGGACAGTGGAATGGAGTCCTGCCTGCTGTGCAGCTGACTTTGTCTGTCCTCTGAGCTGCCCATTCAATCCAATCATTGGTGCTGGATTCGCTGTTCTTGCTGTAGCCATGGGTTCAACACCTCAACTTGCAATTCTTCACAGTGTGCAATTTTTTATATTGGCCTCTTTTTCACTGTTGTGGTTTGCTTAATGCACCCGTGTAAAAAATACTAGTAGGATTAAAACCTGAAAAATAATCTCTTCTTTTTAAAGAATTTACTGTGTACACAATCTGACATTCAGACCTCTTGAAAAGAAGAAGTCTGTGTATGAATTATGTCTATTTACAAGACAACTCTCCAAAAAGGGAGAAATTAACATTCATATAAATAATATCAAAAATGTGACCAAAACATAAACTCTTCTATTTCTTATTTGTCTCGATCAACATGTGTTCTTGTTGTAGTGACAATATTGAATTATTTTTGTGTGTTCTTTTGGTTATTTACGTTTGAGTGCTATGTTTCTACATTCAAAATGGCCATTTGCAAAATATGACCTGCTTGGTTACATATCAGGCTTCTGATTTGTTGATTTTACATTAATTATTCAAACCTGATTGCTGAAACTTAATACTGGCTCAGGAACAAAACATTCCAGGAAACGTTCTTTAGAATGGGCAGTGTACTCTAAATGTTTGCGGTTGTTTTGTTCTGGTTTCCTGTACTTTTGCAGCAAAATTTGCAATGGCAGTCTGCAAAGTGCTTCAAGAATTGCTGCTCAACAAAAAAAATCCCGGTTACCTGCCAAGAAATAAACATAAGTGGAAGGTTATTTTTGAGCATAAAAAAGCAAGCAAAAAAACACGAAAACAAACAAAAAAACAGCACACCTCAGAGAGGAACACAGACTAGTATTACTCAAAGTCAAAGGATGCATTTCAACCGTGTACATGAGCAACGCCTGTCTTAATACGTTAGAAAACAAACAATACTACACTAACAATACTACTATTTTTATTTTATTTTTTTTAAGTCAGCGACAACAGTTAGTCCACAAGGCTAGTTTTCATAAGCTACCTGGTAGAAACGTCAATGGCGTTAACAGCTTGATTCGGACATAACATAGCAATTAACGAACTTTGCCCAAGGCTACCAGCTAAAGCTAACTTAAGCTATCTTAACAAGAGTTACAAGCTAAAATCAAGCCCCGCTTTAGCTGCACACCAAGTTACGTTCCGAGTTGGTTAAACCGCTGCAATATGTTCAACGAGCTACGACGTCAAGTCAACAATTAGTGTTTCCTAGTGGGTCTCTTCTTTCACGAACACATCGCTGTCACTGTCGATAGCAAAGTTAGTGTGAAAAAGTTAAGGAGCACGGCTGTAAGTAGCGTTGAAACTTCATGATTAGCAACGTGGCTTTCGCCATCAAGCTAGCGAGCTAAGCTTGGTCCTGTTCACGTTTTTTTTGAGGGAAACTTTGTTTCAAACTATGTGTTGCGAAACTACGTGTACAAAGCAACCGTGTACGGATCGATTCGCACCTGCTACGTCCACATTTTAATTTAACCTGGGCCAAACGACTAAGTTACGATGCTAGTGTTAGCTTATCCACTACGCGTTAACAATAACATTACTGTTAATCAATATACTTGACAATTGACTCCTTATCAGTCGGTGGAAGATGAGACCTAAACCGTGATACACCCACTCAGACTCACCCATTGGGTCGTTGCTTGACCTTATATCGGCAGTTCAGATAAGTTTGGTATAAACTCGTTTGGAGAAATCCAGCGACTTGTCACTCTTTTGTCTCTTCTTTTAGAATATTGACAATTCAACATGGCCGCGCGCTCGTTTTGGGGGTTGGTTGCCTGCTACAAAGGACCTCCAGCTGACCAATCACAGCCCCGCTTTCAAATTCTCAGAGGTTACATTTGTACAAGGAGACTTACAGACCAGCAAAGTGAATATGTTGGACTTATTTTATATAAAAAAATATTTGCAACTTTTGACAGTGATACAAAAAAAAAATACATACAAGCACATATGCACACTAGCAGACCTGAAAGGCAGCTACAGTGAAGGAACTGACTGTGCAATGAAAGTAAATTAGAAACTTGAACAAGACTTGGGGTGCCCATGTTCCTGTTGACAATGTTAATACAATATCACAGTTCAAGAGAGATCAGGATAGTTTACACAGAATCCCCACCACGGTCTCTTTTCTATTTACTGTTCTCCTCCATCAAAAAAAAAAAGTGCCTGAAAATACTTCGAAAATGGCATTTTGGAGTTTCTAGAGCTTTGGCACATGTCCTCTTCTCACTGATATCTACTGGCAGTTTGAAAAACGTCCTTAATGTTCAGCCTTGATTTCATGCAAGAGCACATTTCTGTTGATGCTTATGTGTATGCAGAGAATCCCAACAGCTGCTCCGCTTCTCTGTTTTGGTCGTCCCCTTGACGCTTGGTTGTGTGGAGGTAGTAGCAGGTTTCACCGGACAGCAACTGTGAGCTAGTAAAATGGAAATCCAAGTGTAGATGGAGAGCAGGAAGCGCTGTGATGAAAGGCGTGCGGTGTGGTTGAAGGTGAACATCCATGACTATGGCTGGGAGATGGGGACCCTAAAGGAGAAGAATGAATCCTTACTGTCATTACACAATGTATTATAAGGCTTTCTAATTGGAACAAGAAGAGCACGTGGAAAACGATGTGATTTTTGCGTGTTGTCTTGTCTGTGATCTTGTGGTTATGTTCTCACCATTTTCCGTTAAGCTGCTTCCATGTGGTGACAGACAGTGTTGATTCTGATCTCTTATCTGTTTCGAGCCTCTCCCTCGTAACACATCGGCTATCTGTAAAAGATTTATAGTTTATTACGACCGTTATGCATGACGTGACATCACCCAGATCTACAAAAACAACTCTTGAATCCAATCATATAACAGTGGTGAAGAACACACTGACTGCAACATTCCGATCTTGCCTCTAGGGGGAAGGATACACACATTTACAATTTACAATTACCCCAGCCAGAGCTGACTGGAGGTTTTGCAACTGTGTGCATTTGCTCTGACTAATAGAAGCAGCAAATGGATGGAATTTTGGAAATTTTGACAAGCATGTCATTCAGCGTCAGTTTGGCAACCTTTTAGGTGTTTACCGTTTCCATGTGTTGTGTTGTCCTGAAGCGGCAACCATGAGAAGGATTAAGCAAAGCACCTCTGCAAGAATGGAATTCCTGCACGGTCAGGTTTATTGTGCATGTTTTTACTTTCTATCATCCCCTCACTTACTTTTTTGTTGTTGGCCACCATCACTGGGGTGTCGTTGTGGTAGTTCTTGAGGCTGCTGTCAGCTCCACTTTTAAGCAGCAGCCGCACAGTGTCCACCTGACCTCGACCGCAGGCGCTGTGCAGGGCTGTGTTTCCACTGTATGACTGGCTGTTGACATCACATCCACTCTGCAACAGAAGGATATGACGCAAAAAGAAAGTCAGAGGACACACAGGTAAGCGCAGAAAGTGAAACAAAAGATACGAGGGTGGTCGACAGACAGGCAGATAAAATGCTTTGAAAGAAGAGATGGAGAACAGAGCATTCTACCCATGTACAGCACAACATGTAAACTCTGATATTATTTTATTTCAGTTCTGTTGAAAGTCTTATCCATAAACTAGAAAAGAAACCAAAATCGAGTCCCAATTCCTTCTCTCCAACTTGCCCACCCGACCTCATTACCTCGATGAGGAAGTGGACCATGTCTGCATTGTTTCCCTCCACGGCGTGCATGAGGGGACTCTGGCCACTTTTGATGTCCTTAGAAAAGAAGCACCATGGGAGAAGTCAGCGGCAGCAGAGACAGGACATGTAGAACTGGTGAGTAGATATGAAACCCACAGTGCTGAGTCAGTTCAGCAGGGACTTACCATAGCATTGATGTCAGCTCCGGCGTTCAGCAACAGTCGAGCCAAATCCTTAAAGCCATGCAGCACAGCCAGATGGAGAGGGCTCAACCCTGAGAACAGTGACAAAGCAAAGCATAGAACACGGGCCATTTTCTACACATAGGAAAAAACATATTGAAAAATCTTTAGCGAGAAGTATATAATGAGAATTTTAACACATACTAAAAAGGATCATAACAAAACTAAGTTGTTAAGGCTGAAATTTATCAGAAAAAGAAATCACAGTGTTGATAATGAACTGAACTGAGTTGAGACCAGATTACGCCATTACACATAAACATCACATCACCTTCAGTACAATATACACCAAACAGCAGTAAACCACAACTCACCCTCATAGTTTCTGATCTCCAGGCATGAAGAAATGCCTGGAGAAAGTACTCGAGAAAGTACTCGAGACAGACAGTCACGCTGGTCATATTCGCAGCAGAGATGGAGAGCTGTTTGGCCGTTGCGGTCCAAGGCTGCAGGGTCGGCCCCCGCTTTCAACAACGCATCCACCATGTCGGCCTGCTTGGTTATCACTGCTAGATGAAGGGGAGTCTGAGGGATGAAGACAGCAAAAATGGCAGTTTAGACAAACCAGCATGTTCAGAGCAATAACCATGAACATGTAACACACTGTAAAATGCATTGCTTTTCAAAATAGTTTAAATTTTTCGTCCTGCAATGTAACCACATTCCTAGGGCATGCTCTCCCCACCAACACTGAACAATGTTCCCACTCTTTACTATCCACTAAGACATCTCCCCTTGCCTTAAAATTAGAGATATTCTGATTTATCACCATGTGTAGATGCCATGTTTAAAACAAATACATCTCTTTGTGTCAATGTTCTGACCATAGACTATAATTAAAGATGGACCTCCAGATCTGAAACGTGAAGCCCATGAAGGAAGGGCCTTACTCCTGTGTTATTCATATTGGCCACTAGGGGATGACTCCTCGAGTTGCAGAGTGTCAAGAAAACGACTCTACTACTCCCTTGATTTACTAGCTCTACAGTGACTTTATGGTCTAAGACAGATTTCAATCCTTCTTTGATATAGCATGGTATTCATTTACAAATTATGGTCCTATTTAGAGTCGATGACAAAGTCGGGTACGCTTCAGTGTGACAGTGTGTGATTGACAAGCAGCTACTGTGTGGGCACGTAGCGTCTTCAGGTTTTTAGTCAGATCCACCAAAAAAACAAGTTGGCAACAGGCAAAATGAGAAACTTGTGGCTTCAAAGCAATAGTCCACAAACCAACTGGTGACACCACAGTGGGTACGTCATCTTTTATTTTTGAGTGCTGCTGTGAAAGGTGAAGCTGCTGTAGCAATGTAAACTTCCCCAGCAATAACGGATCACCTTATCTTATCTTTTATATACAGTGTAGGCGCTAGTCTAGCTTCCCAATTTTAGACTGCAGGTGTAAGTTTGACGTTGGTCACACACCTCTCTAGCTATCTGTATGTTACTGTCTTTTAAATCCCCTTCACTATGGCAAACAAAAGCAACAATATCCAAAATTTCAAAGGTTTGGATCATTCAGTAAGGCAGCCCAACTATTTTTTTTCTGTGAATTATCCATTTAAATGGAAGTGCTTGCTTCCTGCATGCAAATATTCCACAAAAACAATTCCCCCGTTTGAGTGAATAATGTCGGTCCAACCGGTTCTTAGCCCCGGTCCTGGCCATTAATCATGAGATGCAGTCAGACTGTTCTACTCAGCAGTGTACTAGTACTAGAGAATGGTCTGGATATGTCAGTCCATTAACAGTTATAAATAGCCCACTAGACATGACAGGTGACCCAGTTTACACTTACAAAACCATCAAATAACTGCCCTGTTGTCTGTAAAACTGAAGGAAGATTACGATGGGCTCTCTAACCTGCCCTGCAAAACAAAGGTTAGTGACACAATACAAAAAGAATCCCAACGCTTAAAATAAACAAACAAGGAGCTGCGTCTGATTAGATTATGATTCTTACACAGGCACTTGTAATCATATGCTACCTATACACAAACAGGCATAACCCATACACCCAATACATAGTTGACAGCAATGAAATCAAAGTCCAAAAACTCTCTGTCGGGGTTTGAACTTTGCACAATGTATCACAGAACAAACATCACCAATAACAACCCAACCATGAGAGCGTGTCATAATCCAAAATGAGGAGGAACCTGTTCTGAGAAACAAGCTGACTGCAACGCCATTAAGCAAAAATGACACACATTTCACCAAGTGTTTGCCTTAATGAATCTACTAAGTGCAGAATAAAATCCCTTTGGCAATCTAGGATGTTCCTGTGGGTGAGGTCAGCATGTATCATCCTGTGATTAATTATGTCATCTATGATCTGGGATGCACAGACAAGCTGTCTAAAGTAAGCAATGCCAGTTCATTGGTAAGTCATAAAAGGGAAGTCTTTGACCTGGACTTTTTAGCTGCGAACCAAGTTACACAATAAATGCAGCAGCCAAGAACAGATTGTTGCTCTAAGTTTCACTTTTGCTGCTTTTCTTTGTGTATGGGTATACGTGTGTGCCAGCACGCTGAGGTTTTGTTCCAGTAAGGGCTGTTTAAAAAGTAGTGTAACAGTAAAGAGCATCTTTGTGGAATTCCTCCAATGTGTCAATGTAAGTGTTCCTCCCTTTAGCCTTTGTTTTCCTGAATCCTATGACTCACACACATGCAAGTGCATGCACACACACTTAGAAAATTACATTCCCTGTAAATGTATGCATTGTAATACGCAGCCATTTAACTAATTTGTCTCCACATGGCACTAATGAAACTCTCTTGGGTCATTTCTAGAACTTAAAAATTTTACCTTTGGCACTAATGCCTTTTATGGCCTTCAAAATAGACCTCTCACTCTGGCTTTGACTTCCTGTAAAGGATTTTCAGAATGACTAAACAAAAATCCAGCAACGATAAGAGGGAGGGTGGGAAGAGATTGAAGAGGGAGTTAGGGTGGGGAGACAGGGGAAAAAGGAAGAAGCGGAAGTGGCAGAGTGTAGTCCAGGGGAAAGGCAGGATAACGAGGGAAAAACCCTTCTCTTTCCCCTGGGTCTGTCCTCATACACTTGCATTCCTGCAAAATGAGTAGATCAACATGAGGTGAAAAGATGAGAGGAGAGGAGGGTTTTAAGCATGAAAATCAGCCCCAGGCTGCTGGCAGTGCTAAACTCACAGAAAGGTGGAAGGCAACAATAAAAGTCAAAGACATTTTTCTTTTTTTTTCTGTGGTGAACACTGGAGGGTAAAGCCTGTCCTGTTGCACAAATAAACATCATGTGCTCCTACGTCAGTGTTGTTGACAGTTATACTGATAGCATCAGTATGTTCATCACTTATGGTTAGAAACTAAATTCTCTTAAGCTACATGCAGCAAGAGATATAAAAAAAGAGACAGTCGAGAAAGAGTCAGATCGACCAGAGGCAGAGAGAGAGAGAGAGAGAGAATGAGAGAGAGAGAGACACGCGCAGGAAGGGAAAGTCCCTGTAAACTACCCTCTGAACCTCAGTGCAAGGTATGTTGAGAAACAGCACAAAGCAAGGCGGGGTGGTCATGTGACTTCTCGGAACAAAGATACTAAAACACACACAAGAACACACGGATGTCTCATTGTGCACACACACACTTGCGCTAAAAAAAAAAAACTTGGCATGCCTCCAACATACTATAAACAAAGCGAACAAAGTCGTTGAATTGTTACATTAACTTCTGCATAATGACTTGTTACAGTAAATCATGCACATGCACATGGATTGTAATGCAATAAACATGACTATCAGTGCATGGTTTAGTGTCACTGGCCCCAAGGGATTCAGTCTCCAAACCCCACTGGTGTCGGCGGCACTAACTGCACCATCAGCTGTCACAGGAACAGTAAAAAAGTAGGCTACTGTTGTAGTTTTTGTAGCTACACTGATTGCAGAACCAGTGTGGGAGTATTAAACAGCTGTCTGTATAGCATCATAGTAGTTTTGGGAGTGGAAAGCAAAGAGTGTATGCACTATTGTTGAGTTATGCTACTGATAGTAACACTCTGTCAAAAAAAAGTTCCAGATGTAAAACCACAGAAACCAAGGATTTGTCATCAATGTGGGAAAAAACACGTTTATTTTCTCTTTACGTTTGGGAAGTTGGCCAGTGCTGGAAAGTGTGTAGAGGTCTGTCTAGTAAGCTTTATGCTTTAAAAAGTAAAAATTTCCCTGGCCTTATTTTGATGTGGAAGTGAAGTGTATTCTTCTATATGCCTAGTATTTGGTCGCAACCACATAATCTGGTAGGCAAATGACTGTGACAGGACCTGTGCCTGTAAATCTCCCTTTTTGGTTTGGTTATAACTGCATATGACATAAAATACGTGTGTGTGCGTGTGTGAGTGTGAGTGTGAGTGTGTGTGTGTGTGTGTGTGTGTGGTACATTTTCATACACAGGGCAGACACAGGATATCACAGAAACCTATGCTGTCAAGCCTCAGCGATGAGGAAAGACAACGACTGATGATAGCACCAGCAGTATTTCTGGTAAGCATGCCTGTGGCGTCCTGTGTGGTGTGAAACCCCAGCCTTGAGAACTAAAGCTCTGCACAGCTCAGGTGCTTTCTCTGTTAGAGGAAGAAAAAAAAGAAAGCTGGCAGCATGCAGATCAGAAGGGCAGGGAGGTGGAGACAGCAAAGGGGAAGAGAATGTGGAAGTGTTGGCTTAACGCCAGTGGCTGGGACAGTCCTGGATTGGGAAACACTCAAAAGACAATTCCTTGTACACATTCCAGTAAAATGCACTGTAGCGTATGACTTATGTGAGGTTACTACATGGGGAGTTTTCACAGGAAAGACTAGTCACCCCAGTGAAAGTGCCTTGGATCTTTTTGTCTATTTATATCAGTTTGAATGATTAAACTGCAGGACTTTTTACATGCAAGAAAAACAGCAAAATATGTGCCGGAACAAAAGTTACAAGAAATACGTTTGCAGCTAATATCCTGCAATTGTCCAGCCTGTTTATATTTTTTCACTCAAAGACAAGCCATAAGATATGGTTGTACGGTTTATGAGTTTTAATGTGAGTCATTCTTTGCACGCTTAATCATCTTGTCTCTCTCCCGTCAGTTTCACAACATGGTAAATCCTGCATGTAAACCCTGAAAAATCCCTTGTTGTAGGGAAACCGAACACTAGAAAACCATGCAAAAAATAAAACAGAACATTGGAAAGCACATATTGTGCTTCCCAGAATGTGCATGGCTTCAGCTTGTGGCAAGTACAGGTGGAGAAACCAGGAAGGGTGAATTCCACGGCATAACCATCAGGCGTCATGACTGTAAGAGCATGCGATAAAGCAGTGCAAGGCAAGGAGGAAACCAAGGCACTTCCTCTTTCATTCTTTTCCATGTTACTGTTATCAAAAGGGTGAGGCAGAAGAATGTGTTTTATTGCGCTAATGCTGTGGTTGTTGGGACAAAAGTACCCCATTGCACGTCTACTCTACAGCCGACCTTCATCACAATAAACTGACATAATCTACGACCTCAGGACAAAACTGAACTGAAGCATCCAAAACATCTTGGTGTGGATTATATGACTGCCATATTTGAAATGAAAACAGCTCTGTGTTTCAAATGTAACTAATAATTAGTATTCTATTTGAGCAAAATTAAAAATAGTAGGGATGTGAACATGCATGGTTAGGACTGTGACATGTGTGTATTTAAAGTGTGTTCAATGTATTTGTTTCACCTGGCGGAGATTGTTGTAGATATCAAGGCCTCTGCGAGCCCACAGCAAGAGTTGGATTAGTTTGAAGACAACGTCCAATTCCCCTTTCACCACGGCTATATGGAGAGCTCTGTAATGGACACAAGCACACACAAAGAATTTTACTAATTTAACAGGTGAAAGTTAATGTTTCAAAGGTTATTCTAACTACGTCACAGCTTTGACCTCCTGACGCTACGTCCAAGTTTGACTTAAGAAGAAACTGAATGAACTTAGAACATATTTAAAGTTGCACTTAATGTGTGAAAACTATACGGTGAGTTTTTCTTCATGTCTTATATTCACTGAACCTTTAAACCCAGTAAGTCCATTTTCTACAAAAAGTAAAATTAAAACAATGGGTCAACATTTTGCAAAATTCTCTCTTTAGCTAAGTGGGAGACAAGTGCTCTCATTCCATCATCAAATATGAAGCTCCAGCAAGTAGGAAGTACTTTTGCAAAGCATGAAGATTGGAAAAGGAGAAATAGTGCACCAGGCTGACCCTAAAGATAGTAAAGGCCACCTTGCAACAGCCCTATAGCGCCATAATTAGCATGCAGCATCTCGTTGTTGTTCTGTTTTTAAATCAACAGGTTGTGGTTTTGCAGAGGTTATGTGTCAGACTGTCTGGGCCCAGAGCAAGGACTTCTGGAAGTCTCTGCTCATTTCCTGGCAACTAGTGCTGATGATCACATTTTGTTTTCTGCATGGACAGTTGTAGACTAGACTGGTATTAAATCCTTATGCTAAACTCAGCTAACCAGTCACTAAAGAATTGTTTTAGATAAATATTAATTTAGGAAAAAAAAATTCACACATTCTCCTAATGGCTCTCGAACTTAACATGAGAAAGGCTGAAGTTTGATTTGCGATCAGGGATACAAACTTCTGCTTGATCACTTGATCTAAATGATCCCACTGACAGTTGTACCAAGGAGCTCAACAGATGTACAGGCATGACTCATTGTACTTATCACACACAATTATCAAGACTAAAGGGGAAACCACTATCTGTGGTCTTTACATAAGGAGAAAGAAGAAATGCAGGCCAAAGTTTGGACAGGGAAGGGCAGAAAACTGGCAGGGGGAAGGGTACACTGCAGAAAACATTGTACCAGTGTCACTTTTTTCTTTTTCTTTTTAATGCTATCAAGAGGAGCGGCTTCCAGTAAGAGCCTGACTTGTTTTATGTCACTTCCTGTTGTCACTGACAAAGGCATTATTCTTTTGCCTCTATCTTGCTGTATGTGCTCTGAAATGTAACCATAAAGCTATATTTCTGACAGGGGCTTTCTGTAGGTCTCGTCTGTCAGCTTCTAGTGTGTAAGTCATAATCAGACATACATGATAAATATGCTACAGGAAACAGGGACACTTCTTGAGAATGAGATAAAAGTGCCTCGCACAGAATATGAGGTCAAAAACAAGTTCTCACAGTGACAAAAGCATTTGCGACAGTTCCTCTCAGTGATGCATTCCACTGACAAGGAGTCAATAAAGACAGTAAATTCCTGCCTTAAGTAAATAAAAGACAAGTTCTCACTCTGACGTGTAGCATGAATGTGCATGTTCATATCTATCAATATGACATGTAACGTATGTATGCATGGGTGTATATTGATATCTATCTATCTATCTATCTATCTATCTATCTATCTATCTATCTATCTATCTTGTCTAATTATCCCTTCAAACCTCATTAAATCACCCCGATTACATAATACTTGTATTTATAGTGGAGACATTTAAACTCTTTGACAGTCTTGTAAAGGCAAGTATAAACAGAATAACATCCGTGGTCTGTAACTGACAAACACATACCAACTTTCAATTGGTGGTTGCAGGAAAATAAAGAAAGTCATGCCACAGTGTCTGTTTAAACAACTAAACAACATTTTGAAATGTAAAAAAAAAGAAATTAAATTAAGATAAACTATGTGTGCATGCATACATGCATGCATCACTATTGCACATGTTTGGGAAAGTGTGGAGATCAAATCTGCAACATGAGTAAAAAGTTAAAAGTTGCTGTGAAAGAGCAGATTGGAACTGCAACTACAACAGACAATTGGATGATTTGCTTCTGAGAGCAGAATGAAAAGCAGAACTTTGCATTTCAAGTGAGCGTGACGGTTCTTTCCTCAGCTCATCCCTGTTCCTGTAAATTAGATCAGCACAAATCTGTATCAACAAAGATCTGGTCATGTTTACTGTACATGTAATCAACTGTCTGTCATTTGCCTAAAAAAAAAAAACACCTGCATTTTGATTGGAGCAGCTAATCAAGGCATCATCAACAGTCAAATACAGTGACAAGTTGTTCAAGTATGACTTGACCAGGCTTTTGTCATTCTGACGAAACGTGTGAAACGTGATGCACTGATGAACAGAAAGACAAATGCCAGCTGCAGTGTGACATTGTGAATAAATACTGAATCAGAGTCGAAGTCAGCTCTATAAACACTGAGGTCATTGTTAAGGTTGTCTTCATATAGGCCTAAAGTCAACCTATCACTCTTGCTACACCGTATTATATCTGCATCCATCTCTCTCTTTTTCTCTTAAGATGAAACTGCACTGTTTCTGGTTCCTGGAAGTGGGGCAGACCACAGCCCCAGATAACCTCAGGCATAGCGACGCTGACGCAGACGCAGGAGTTCTGAACTTGCCAAATGAACACAGACAGTCCAACTGTATGTGTATGTGTGAGAGAGACAGAAGAAAGAGAAGGCAGCGTATGTGTGGTATCCTGTTCAGTATCGAGGCTGAGCCAGAGTGAATGATCAGACTGAAGCCTGTGGTCTGTGGACCAGCTGAGCATTGGGGTGATGCGTCAGTTTGAGTGAATAGTAAACAAAAGAGAAGCAAAGTTGCAACACAGTCTAGTTAGCAAGAAATAGCTGCTCGCTGCATAACCTGCTGTGTTTGTCGTGAACAATGGGACTACTTTTGATCATTTTGATGGAGGTATGAAAGGTATTCACAGGAAATGTTTCTGAGCAAACCTGGATGAGCAACTGTTTTGTTGTGCTGTGGGATCTTGGTTTTCTTTGCATTTCTTACATTCACACCTACAATTGTAAACATCCATCACATAGTTCACAGCCATCGACACAGTTTTAACCTTGAGTCAGTCGGCGGAGTAATGATTGAGTGTTTGATGCTCTTTTGAAGCTCCTGCATGAAACCATCCACAGTACGAGGGTTGTCAGAAAAGTTCCAGGACTGGTGTCACAAAAGATACATTTAAAATCCAAACTACGAGTTTCCCCTTCAGACGATCAACCAGCACGTCTACACAGAGGTCCTGCAGTGTTTGCTTCATTCAGTGTACGAGAAGAGTTGTTGCAGGACAAGTCATGGCTGCTTCACCATGACAACACGCCTGCTCACAATGCCCTGAGCATCCCACAGTTCCTGGCTGAGAAGAACATTGTCATGCTGGAGCAACCTCCCTACTCACCCCACCTGGCTCCGTGGGATTTTTTTCCTCTTCCCCAAGCTCAAGGGGGTCATCAAGGGGACCCGTTTTGAAGACGTGGACGACATCAAGATGGCTGTGGGGAAAGTGTGTTAGACTCCAGGGGGATTACTTGGAAGGCAAAAACTTGTAGTTTGTAGTTTGGATTTGAAATATATCTTTTGTGACACCAGTCCTGGAACTTTTCTGACACACCTCGTATATCCAACAATATTTTGAGTAAATATGGTGTTTTCAATGTTTTACCTGCAAATGTATTTCAAAAACCAGCAATAATCTGATGGTTAATATTAACTTGTGTTCACTCTCTTAGCACAGCTGATAGAAAACAGGTAAAGGAGGAAGACTGTGGAGCAAACACTGTCTTTTCCTCTATTAGTCCGTCACTGTCAAAACGAGAGTGAGTAAGCGACTTTATTACTGACTCAGTATTTTTACATATGTGTACAATTCACACAATTAACTGCCTTCGAGATTACATTTGATAATCAGGTTGCTGTCCTGAAGGATGTGTGGTCGCTCACACAGCATATTAGCAGCACAAAATACAAACAAATGAATTCACCTAAATGCAACTCAGTTATTCATACTCACCATAGGATTAATGTTAAGTGCTTTAACCCCTGCTTTTCATCTAGTCTCTTAAACAGCAAAGTGTTGTCAGATTTTTTTTTTTTATAAATACATTCACAATCCCAAGATGATATGTCCTCATGATTTTTTTTTTTCTCTTTGGCCACCTACACTAAACTCCAACAATATTTTTGTGTTGGTAAATCCACTGACAAACCAGAAGGCGGCAGATTTTTTTAAGTCCGTAGGTGAAACACATCTGCACATCGCATGCACGAATGACAGCGTGACACACAGCAGAAAAAAAGAGAGACAGAGAGTGCGAGAAGGGGAGAGAGAGAGAGAGAGATGAAGCTGATAGAAAGAGAACGGTAAATGAGGAAGTCAGAAGCGGATGTTTGGGTTTTTTGAGCCCATTCATTTAAAAACACAGTGAAGAAAAGAGAGAGAGACAGAGACACCTGAGAAAAACCACAATCATGTTTAAAAACTGAGCACTCACTGGCTTTCCCGAAACTAAGGGCGCTGAGAACAGAGGATGAACGGTGACATTGACGTAAGACGCTCGCCATCACTCACATTATGCATACGCGCACGTACGCACGCACACGCACACACATACAGTGTGAAAAAGGATAAAGGGGCTGGGAGTGTTTTTTTTTTTTCTACAGAATTCACAAGTTTCAAAGAACCACAAAGCAACACGTAAGTACTATACAACCAGTCAAAGCCCTCATTACAAAGGGTCTCTGATCTTTGCAGCACTTAGTTTCTACGAAAAGAAAATTAATATTCATACAAACTTTGCAGTTCTTTTTAATCTGATCTGCAAGTTTGGATAAAATACTGACGATGCAGCAGGTGCAGATGAAAAACAGAATCAGAAAAATGTTAAAGAAGCAACAGATGAATTTTTGCAATTCTAAAAGTGAAAAAGTTCTTTTAACAATGACTATTCTGAGTCAAGATTCATTGCATTTTCTTTTTTCATGCAACCGTCTGGTAACGGCAGAAGTCTCTGAAGCAAATATGGGACAATAAACAGCTGTGGCATGTCACGGGACTTATGGCTCGGCAAAATGTTGATCATCACGAGTTCGTTTTTAGTGGATGCAAATGATGTTGATACTTTTTGAAACTGAAACATCAAAGTGCCATTTAATTCTTGGACATTCTATGTCTCCAGCCACATGACTGCATGTTCTCAGTTTGTCATTTCAGTTGGTGTGTGGGTGGGTGTTCAAATTTTAGACAAAGTAAAGAAACCATGCGTTAAAAGTGTCGTATTTGCATTCATGTGAGAGCTCCTCCATTCCCAACACCCCACCCCGTGCCCTTAGAGACCAGTCAGCTGACAATTACAGCGATACGTATCTGCAGTGACTGTTGAATCTGGCAGTTCATATCCACAGTTTCCAGGATAGTGTGTCAGATCAAAGTCTCCAAATGCACTTAGAGAATCACTCCTGATCAACAATGAACCAGTTTCCTTTACAGGAAGTGAAACAGCAGTAAAGAATTTGGCTGTATTGGGGCTGGAGGATTTAATGACTGTACCTGCTAAACATGCAGTGCTGTTTAAGTCAAGCAGATCACAATAACTAAACTGAAAATAAATGACTAACCTGAAGTCTCACATCCAGGTTGTGCAACACCAAAAGATTTGTTTATGAGGTTGGACGGTTGCGTGTCGAGACTAGTCTTGTTTGAGTCCAGCCACCAGCTGAATCACTTGCATTGACTTCATATTGAAGTGACCATTTCAGTTTCACTTTTTACACTTTCCTTTGAACTGGTAGTTGAGACATACAAGTGTGAAGTCCACAGGGAGCAATGTGCAGAGGGCATATTGCTGCCACGGGCACCGGTCTGTGGCTAGCAAAGACCGACGATATGGACTGGCATGCTGCAGGTCTTTTTCACAGAAGACATATTAACAGGTCACAGTGGAGACAAAATGTGAGGGCTTAATAAAAATCCACTTTAATGCTTTAGCTTCAGAGTGACTGTCATACTGACTATGTATTGTTTGTTTTTCATCTGATATCAGCGACAACCCCCCTCATCCCCACCCAACCTATCGAGGCAGAAGGCCGTCCTCCCTGAGCCTGGTTCTGTCAGAGATATTTAAAAACTTTTTTTTGGCCTTCCGATTAAAGGGGAAGTTTTTTGGTTCTTTCCCACTGTCGCTAATGTGTGCTCAAAGGCGATCCAAAGGGAACTTCAGGTTTGTTGGGTTCCTTGCCTAAAATTAGCAAGGTCTACATGATTGTGTGAAAGTGCATACGTTGTCAAATGGCGCTATATAAATAAATAGAATTTTCACGTCTTGTTTTAGTTTTTGCTTGATTCTAATTTTGTTCTCATATGGACCTATGTTTCTAAAATCAAGTTCAAGTGAAGTGTCATGGCTTACTGGAACTGATGCATGAAGAACACACCATTATTTAATTGTGGTTTTCATGCTGTGAAAAGCTGAAATGTCTGCAGGGAAAATGGCATACTAGTTCAGATAAATTTGAGAATGTAGACCTTTAGAGTCGGACATACCAGGTCCAAACATACATGTAGAAAAACCCACATGTGATCAGCAAGAGACTATGTGTGAGAGCTTCAACCTAAAAGACTATGTAAAGTTTTTGTAGTTGAATATTTAATATCATTTGCATGTTTAAATGTTGTCGATGGTTAGGATTATGTTAAAGCTTGCTGTCTATGTCCTGAGATTCAGTCTCATCGGTCATATTTATGGTATCTTCCATTACTTTTCCATCAAGGACATCAAAAAGTTACATATTTTAGTTTTGACTAATTGGAGAGACCCTTTGCTGCATCACAGTTCAAACTCTTGGTCTCTACAAGTAAAGCTGTACGCTGAGTGTGCACAACCTAAGCAAAAGGACAATAAATCGTCTCAACTAGCTAAAAATTGTACTGAATATTTATGACTGTGGGAAAATTTCAGATCTATGATATCTGCAAAGTTTCCACTTTCGAGATAGCCGTCTGACTAAAATGCTGTGATTACGAAAACGCACGTGGTTGATGAATCACTGTAATATTTTAGGTTCGCTGTATGTGTTGAACGTGTGACGGACGAGTAGACGTTGGCTGAATATGAACATGTCAAAACAACACACCACAAAGTAACACCCAGACCTCCAACCCAAGTCATTTCAACAACACCAACATACGTGTCTCCGTCTTCGTCCTGGTGCGTCGCCAGAGCGATGCCAGCCAGCAAGTGTTCAGTTTGATGGGCCAGAGGGTAACTGGGCTCGGGGACAGGAGACAAACAGTACACTGGGTAGTGACCTGAGCAGGAAAGACACAGAGAGAGACGGGTACATACGGTGTAAGAGAGAAAGACAGGTGGAGGCAGATATGTCATATTTATACAGGGATATGTAAAAAAATGAAAAAGCTGGCCAGGCAAACAAGTCATTTTTTGTAATAAGGAAGTATGCAACTCTACATGCACTGTGAGTATTCAGATATGAGTTGACCCAGTAAGCTACTTTTGTCTGTGCAAGATAATGACTGGAGAACAGCTGACTGGACGTTTTCTTCTGCATCAACTATGACTCCACTGTCCTTCTGCCACCATAACACAGTGGAGCTACTGTGTTCAACATCTAAGACCAGTGGCATGTGATATCCTGGAATAAAACAAAAATAATGCATAGAGCCTGTTACTAGCAGGCTACTTCTAGGCTGCTGGACATCAAACACTTCACATTGACAGATGTCCTTTCAAAGTTCTTGCCTGAGAGTTCTCCTCAAGAACCTCCAAGAGGAGCCTAGCTGCAGTGCACTGAAACTCCAAGGATTGGACAGATCTACACAGACATGATTAACTCTTACCGTAATTAAATGGGTGCAAAAAGCACACGGGATATCCATTAGGACTCGGTTCTGCTTGTCCGTGGGTCGCCGGTACCGGTCTGTTTCCTTCCCCGTGTCTTTCCAAATAAGCAGGAAAACTCTCCCGAAATGTCAAGTCTTTATCTTCCGCGGGAGAAAAGCGCTCAGCACTTTCTGCTGGAGCCGGTGAGCGCCTCTGGGTCTCTGGTTCGACAGGAATCGGGCGTTTCCTAAAAGGAAGCTTGGAGGAAGATGTATCCGCCGGCCGCTTGCGAGCCGTGCTGTTTTCTGAGCCCACTCCGTTCCTGACCGCGGGGCAGCGGCTTTCCGAACTGTCCGTCCCGGTGCATGCCGGAGGCGCAGGTGAGCCTCCGGACACCAGAGCGTCCCTGCCGCGGCTCCTGCAGTCCGGAGCCCTGGAGCCGGCGCTGCCACGCTCTCGGGTTGTGGTGCGCAGATCCAGCGGTGCCGTGGCGACCGACTCGTGGTCACCGTTCATGGTCATAATCCTCGGCATCAACCGGAGGACGGACTTTGACGATGGGAAGAAGTTTCAGGTGAACAGAACTTCTCGGTGACAGTTCAGAGGGACCTGTCCGACCAGAGTGACCGAGCGTGCGCAATTCCCATATCCATAAAATTAAATGGGAGACGATCAGATCATCACCCCGTTTCCTTTGGTGTCACTCGTGTAATTTAAACAACAAGCGTTCAAATTCACTGACTCGTGCAAATACGGAAAAGAGCCAACATCATTGGTGTAGATATATGCAGATAAACGTATCCAAGCGCACCTATGGGTGCAGGTAGCCCTCAGTGCAGCTGCGCCAGCGCTCATCTGCTTTTAATGAACGTAATCTGACGATGGTGCTTTCCCTTTAAACCGAAACACACAGCGCGTCTAACACTTAATTACACCGAGAGAGGCAGGAAAAGAGAAAACACTGCACTGACTTCATAACAATTTTTTTTTTTTTTTGCATCTCCGACTTCTTTGACATCTGTCTGTTTTGCATGCAAGTTCAAAATATCTATCAGTGAATTTCTCAAGAAGTTCAAGGAGGTGAGACCAGTCGATGCAGAAAAAAAACACGAAGATGCTGTAGCTGGTTACCACATCTGTAGTCTAATACTCGGTTAGATAAACTCAGCTCCTTCATTTGTCATCACCAAAAACCAAAACTAGTGGTTTTATGCTCGATAACAGCTAATGGTGCAAGCTGTAAAAAGTAGCATCATTTAAGTTAAAGTATAGCTACAATAATCCAGTTTATACTCTTCAACTTAATGTAGAGTGAATCTACTTTATTGCAAAATGTTAAGTTTATAGAGGACAGTGGAGATGCACACTAACATGATGAAACTGGGCATATTGTATGTCAGGTTTAGGTGTTAATGTCTGAAAACTTGTAAAAAAAATAAAATAAAATGAAATGAAATAGAAGAGGGGTAACAAAAACCTAAAGGCTTTGAAACGTAAACTGCCTTTTTTAAAATTTTCAGTGACCTCCTCATGTCATGTAATGGATTATGTCATTTTATATGTATGTTTAGCAGAAATGTTAGATTCCTTCCTCCATCCAAAAAGCTACAACTTTTGCTGGTCTTATTTCAGGCTAGAACAGACAAAAAGTTTTTCCAAGCTGTGGTGCATCAGAGTTGATTATTCGCTTCAGATTCCTGCATATAGCAGGTTGGACGATCAAATTCCCAATGCTTGTATTTTATTTCAGCAAATATATGAATTGTAATGTTGCAAATATACAGCATATAAAAGTTCAAGCACATCCAACATGTAGTTCTAGATTGTAATCCAACAGATAAAGTGTCACACAGAGACTTCTATCTGTTGTCTGGGGTTGGTAATGTGACCAAACTGATGCCCTGTCATTGCTACTCTGCATGCAGAAATGCTACAGCCCTGAGAATAGACACACATGCAAAAATCACTGTTCCTCTCCTTGTCTTTAATCTCATCCTACCCCACCCTTTACCAGGTTCCGATTACCAGGGTCAATTTGGGACTTTCCTGTTATCACTGAAGTGTGGAGTGGGCAACAGAAAGTTAAGCTTGGTGTCTAAAGTCCCTAAAACACCCTGACACTATACAAACATGCTCTGCAGCTGTGGGGGCACTCAAGCATTTTGGTCTGGCATTAGATATCCTTGTTTATTTATATATTTAAAAAAACAAGTACAGGCTTACTTCTTCTGCTTCAAGAACACACACATTCAAGACGTCTTATTGCAGAATGAAAGAGCCATTGAGATTTCACAAAATTTAAGAGTATGCATATATATATTCTTACACCCATTTAAGATTTAGGGCCTCAGTATTCTAAAACAGTGCCCTATAATAAATAATGAGGGAAAACATTAACATACAAGGCAGTAGCGTGAGGCCCTCTTGTGCCAGGAGAGCAAAGGTGCAACTAACTCCCCGAACACAGTGCAATATTGGAATTGAGTTTTGAGATTCAAAAGCAAAAAGAAAGTTTCTTTTTCATATGCACAATCTTCAGTTAAGGTAGACTAGGCTGGAAACTGAAATTCAAAGTGGTTAAATGATCAAGTTGCAACAGCAGCTGTAAACTGGATGTGCATTGTCTGACTTAGAGTCTCCCTCTTGTGGATGTAAAAGTTGAGGGACTCTCTCATTGAGTCTGTGTGCTAAGTGATGAGCAGTGACAGAAAACAACATTTATAGGGAGTTTTTTTTTTTTTTTTTTTAACTTTTAATCTGTTAAAGATAAATGCATTTTCAATTTGGTATTGTGCGCCACATAAACATAAGTTCTGTGCCAAAATGTGTGAGTAAAAATAATGTAGTGAATATCCACTCATCTACTAATCCATCAACGACACCCGCCACATCCTGCAGAGGATGACAAGGGGCAGGAGTCTGGCTCAGTTGACATGGGGCAAAAAGGCAAGGCACACCCTGGACAGGTCAGTCCTGTAGAATAGTCTGTAAAAAAAAAAAGGTCTAGGAAGGTGGCAGGAGGGCAGATTCAGCAGACTTCTTGTGTGCAAAAAAAAAAAGGTGAAGATTTTATTTTACAGTGCTTCCCCATTCACGTGAGACTTAAAGTGACAAAATAATACTAAAGTAGTTTACAAGGATAATTAATTTCAAAATCAACTCATAGACACTCAAAAATCAAAAGTATATATAATAAATAAAGGATATTTTCATAGTGAAGCCTCACTGCTTCCGCGCTCCTGAAGGCCCCAAATCTCTACCCCAGGGGTGTCGAACTGCGGTCCTCGAGGGCCGCAATCCTGCATGTTTTAGATGTTTCCCTCTTCCAACACACCTGATTCAAATGATCAGCTCATCATCAAGCTCTGCAGAAGTCTCGATCCTGATCATTTGAATCAGGTGTGTTGGAAGAAGGACACATCTAAAACATGCAGGATTGCGGCCTTGGAGGACCGGATGTCCACACCCCTGCTCTACCCTTTATATAGTGTGCTCAATTCACACCACCCTCACTTCAGCTCTACCATCCTACAGCGTGGTGACCGATTCTATAATTTGATGAAAACAAATCTGCAAACATCATCATTGCATTTACTACAAATTTGCAGGCATTTCTAAATGTCTCCATGGAAGCTAAACATATAAAGTTAATGCTGACTGCTGTCTTTTAATACAGAAGACACGTTTATCAAAAAGGAAAAAAACCCTCCACTTGGTCTGACCCAGTGATGTCACTCTGACATCCAGGAAGTGCTGGGCCGGCCTCCTCCCAAACACCAATCCTGCATGGTGGGTGGGTCAGAACAAAAGGAGCAAATAAAAGTTAGTACAAACAAAGGAACAAACAATTAAACCACATTTGACCTGTAACTTAATAAATAACAACTGAAAGAAATGATGTGTTTTTCTCCCATGTGATGGATGTAAACATAAACACAAACAAGCCCGAGATAATATGTGCTGCAATACTACACTAGCATGGTTCAGTTAAGGCAAAATGCACATAAGGGGAAAAAAAAGTGTAACATGAAAGTGTTAAGGGAGAAGTGGTGAGGAGAAATGAGAGTTCTTACTGACTGTCACAAGTCCATCACAGGGTGAACAGAAAGAGACATGCATGCTTTCACTTACAGATATGGCTAATGTAGAATCCCCAGTTACCCACCAGTTATGTTGTTGGACTGTCAGAGGAAGCTGGAGCACATGAAGAAACACAGAACATACGGTATACGAGGTGTGTCAGAAAAGTTCCAGGACTGGTGTCACAAAAGATATATTTAAAACCCAAACTACAAACTACCAGTTTTACCCTTCAGACAATCAACCAGCACGTCTACAAAGAGATCCTGCAGCATTTGTTTTGTTTAGTGCGCGAGAAGAGGCGAGAGTTGTGGCAGGACAAGTCATGGCTGCTTCACCATGACAACGCGCCTCGTTTTGAAGACATGGACGACATCAAGATGGCTGCGATGACGGAGCTGCGGAGGATGCTGGAAGAATCCTTCCAGGAGTGCATGGCGGCGTGGTGGAGAAGGCTAGGAAAGTGTGTTAGGCTCCATGGGGATTACTTTGAAGGGGAAAACTTGTAGTTTGTAGTTTGGATTTGAAATATATACCTTTTGTGACACCAGTCCTGGAACTTTTCTGACACATGTAATTCCACACTGGTATGAATTCAGAACCTTCTCACTGAGAGGTGACAGTGTTAACCACTGCACCACCGTGTTTCCCTGTACT